ACCACTTAGGAGGTTACATGTTCTTTCCAAGCCACAGAGATGCTTAATTTTTTTTTAAGTTTTCCCACTGCTCAAGAACTGTGATGTATTTTGAGGCCAGGGTTAGGAAGAGATTTTGGAGGTCCCTGGTAAGAGGCCTGTGATATACATCTTAGTTGTTGATGAGTGCCAGGGATGAACTCCAGGAAAGTCATATCAATGTCATCTCTGGGCTTTAGGCCACGCCAGGTGTGATCTAGGGCCCCATTTCTCCTGGACATCAAAATTTTCCCTGTTGCTTAGTCACCCCATCTCTCTCTCCAGCCCCCAGCCTTGGCACAGAGACCTTCACCTGATCCAGAAATATCTGACCAATGTAAAAAACCAGTGGGGATACAGAACTCAGTAAGAGCAGTGTGTCAAGGAAGAGACTGCTGCATTGGAGTGGGATTCAGGGGGTGGGGCACCTCACTTCTCTGGGGCTCAGTTTCCTCATCTGTAAATTGAAAATTGTATGAGATTCTAAATTCTATGATCCTATGTCTATATGTTGGGGAAGAGAAAAGAGTCTCAGCTCTCTCCCTTCAGACTGAGGATCTGAAAGGTTGTGAGCCAATCTCAATCCCAGGATCAACCTGGTGAAAGAAATTAAAGCAGAGGGAGAGGAGATTAGGAAATAGATTGTGGTGATAGGAAGGCCAAGAACAAAGCACCTTTGCTATCTTTGCTTTCTATATATGAATGAGAAACTGTATCCCATCCTTACCCTCTGTCTGAGCTGAGGGGAAGAAGTTTTACTAGAAAATCTGTCTCCTGGTCTTCTTTCCTCCCATCCCTGAACTTCCTCTGAGTCTATAGGGAATTGTATAGTCTATTCAATCTCAGGTACATTAGAGCTCTCCACTTCTGGTCTCCTCTTCCTCTTGCTTCTCCCCCCCACTTCCCCCTCCTCATTGTTTCAGTTTCAATTTCTCTTTGGTGCACCCTTGGCAGTCGGTGATCTTTAAGGTCCCTTTTAGCTGTAAATCCTATGATCCTATTGCTTTTCCAGGTGCCACCTTCCACCATCTCCTTTCCCCTCTTCTCTATATTTTTCTCCTCTAGGGCTCTTTCATTTTTGCTTCTCCCTGCAGCATTGATGGGCTTCCCTATCCTTCTCTTCTTCCCTAGCCTTCTCCTTTGATCTGTCTCATTTTCAACCCCCAAACAGAAGGATGTTTTCTAGAAAACACTCATTATTGCCATCACTAATACTGGGAGGTTGGAAGGAGGTCGAGGCCAATTTTTCACTGTAGTCTCAATTGTTCCTCAACCTTCATCTTCTCATAACTCTGGGACCCCCAAGGGAGGTTAATTTAGGAGTGAAACTAGGAGCCTGCCTCCCTCCCCAGGGTATTCCTTGGAAGACTATTCAGACACCCTTTTCTAGGTTCCAAATGGTTTGGCAGGCTCCATCCCTCTACCTTTCCTCTATCTCTGGGGCTATTTCAAGTCCATAACACATTATTAAGGTCATACCAGGGATTTTTGAAGTTGCTTTAGGTTCCATAGGGAAAGGCACCTAGCCTGCCTAAAGCTACTTAATCTTTCCATCTCTGTGCCTTCCCATGGGCTATCACTCATGCCTGGAATGCTCTTCCTCCTCGCCTCCACTCCTCAGAATTTTTATTTTCATTCATGGCTTTCAAAGGTGTCACTTTCTAAGTGAAGCTTTTCCTGATTCTCTTCTCTCCCTCTAGTTGTTAGTGTTTTCTCCATCCTCAAATTACTTTGTGTTTCTTGTGTAGATATATGTGGAATCTCTTCTGTAGAGTGTAAGTTCTTTGAGGACAGGGATTATATTGTTTTTGTTTGTATATCCCCAGTGTATACATAGTGCCTTTTGTAAAGTAGTTGTTAAATAAATGTTGAATTGAATTGAACTGATTCAACCAATCAACCCTTATGCTTTAAAACCCAAATGAAGCAAGCATAGACTCAGTACTGGGATCAGAGCCCTCCCCAATCTTTCCTAATTCCTGGAACCCAGGTATAAGGAGTTAGGCATTTTGACATGCCTGAGGACTGGAAGTAGCTAAAACATCTTGGAGCTGAAGGATTTGGAGGGAATCGTGAAGAAAGACTCTTCTAACAGCAGCCCTCTGATCCTATGCCCTAATCCCCACCCTGCCTGTGGATTTCCCCTTCAGACTGTTAATATATTTCAGCAGCTGGTCAGCGCCTGCTGCAGCAGCTGCTCTCCCAGCCTCCCCAATGTAGGTCACCCCCTTTACTAATGAGGCTGTATAATATTGGGGCAGGGAGGGTCCTCTGGCGGGAGGCATGTGGGTGGGCAGCAAGCTAAGGAGCCACGAATTTCTGGGTTCTCTTCCTATATCTCCCCAAGGGACATTTACATAGTGTTGTCCTCTGGCATTATCCCAGTTGGAGATGAGTGTTAAATTAAATCCTTTACCATTTCCCCTCACCAGATAAAGCCTAGATGTCTAATATTAGTTCACCTAAGGTATGTGAGTTAGATTACATCAAAAGGTAACTGGATATCTTCCCTGGGGCTCGTGGAAACATTTTGTATTTTTCACACACACGAAAGGAAGGAAAGGTTAAAAGTCTACCTGCCACTTCTTGAAACAGTGCATAATGGTTGGGCATCATGGGATTTGCCTAGCCTACTGTATACAGGTTTTCACATCCCAATGTATGTATGGAGAGGAGAGGGAGGAAAGTAAATAGGAATTACACTCTAGTGGCATGTCTTCTAATGACTGGTTGCCCTCTGCTCAACCCTTTTGGGTCTCTCAGTTTCTCCCCCAATGGTACATCACAAGGATCTTGGGGGGGGGGCTAGTTGAAAGTTTGGAATTCCTCAGGTGGACAGAACAGACCAGGAAGAGGGAATAATTCCAAATATACTTGTAGGGGATGCCTTCCTCCTACAGCGATTATTCCATTACCTGTTCCTGAGCTTGAAGCCAGGAAGAGTGGGAAGGGAAGTTGAATGAAAGAGAAGAATCTGGTTAATAGCTCCAGTCTGAGCTCAGAGATGTTCTCTGGCTTGGGACAACCTGTCGGGGTTTTCTTTGTACCTCCTTTGCCTGGTAGCCTGCTGAGTCCCTCCGTATTGAACTCTGGGCTGGAGCTGGTCCTGGACACCTGCCTGCTGAGAGGATTTAGAAAACTGGGAAGCTCCTTTCTTTGCTGTCTGAGTGTTGTCAATATGGGTGGGTGTTAGAAACTAGCTAGCAAGCCTTGGTGTGTGTGTGTGTGTGTATGTGTGTGTGTGTGTGTGTGTGTATCTGTAGCTTTGTGTGGGTGCGTGTTTGTGTCACGTGCTTATGTACAGAGCTGTAAGCACGTGTCCGGGGAGGCCCATGTGTGCACCCCATTCTGCATAGGTTTTGCAGATGCCAGTAAATGATGATAGGCATAGGGGCATATGCTAGCTGAGCTATGTAGTTGTGGAGGGGCTTTCTGGCTCCTGGAATTCATTTTCATTTCCATCCTCTTGAAATGGAAACAGCAATGAACTGCAAGTTAATATACCTGATTTCTGTTTCCAGCTCTTCCACTAACGAGCTGTGTGATCTTGTTTGAGACTTGGTCTCTCTGGGTCTCAACCTCTTCATCTGTAAAATGAGCGAGTTGAACTCTTTAATGTACCTTCTGACTAAAAAAAATTCTGTGATATAACTTAACTCCCATATGACAATGGATAATTAGCCAGTTTTTCTGTGGGATTCATAGGGATTCAAGGTAATGTCCTCAAGGTGCCTTGCGCCTTTGGGGCAAAAGTTCCTGTAGGAATCATATATTTTATGATCAGTACCAATGTCTGACAGGTTATGTAAGCATGGATGTTTGTCTCTATGAAGTATACATATTGAAGGACCTTGTTATTGTTTTTTATAGAGAGATGTTTTTTTTTTCTTGCTAGGCAGTGGGGTTAAGTGACTTGCCTAGGGTCACACAGCTAGTAAGTGTCAAGTGTCTGAGGCCGGATTTGAACTCAAGTCCTCCTGACTCCAAGGTCGGAGCTCTATCCATTGGGCTATCTAGCTTCCCCAGGACCTTGTTTCTTATCCTCATGTACTTGTACATACATGCATGAAAATGTCTTTGATGTGTGTATGGCACATCCATGCATATATCTTTCAGTTTCCTGTAGTGTATGTTATGCCAGGAGTCCAGGTTTGGGGAGGTAGATGAGCCCATGTTTTGTGCACATGTCACTGAGCTTTAATTTCTCTGTCCAGAAAGACATGTCCCAAGAAACTGCTGCAACTTAGGGCTGAGGGTTAAAGCTTTCCTGTGGCTCTTGGTACAGAGAATCCTCAGAGGAAGATGAGCTGTGTTTCTGGGTGCTGTGGAAGGGCAGGGTTGATAAGCTCAAGTATCTCCCCAAATCTTCTGTTCTGTGGATGTTGGAATGAGGCAGCAGGCTGTGCTGAATGGAGCTCAGCATCTGGACCCCATACCTCCTGCCAGGATATGGATAGCAAGGGTCACAGTCTTGGGGAACATATCTCATTGTCATTGGTACCCACGAGGCTCCCTCTGCAGTGAGAACAAATGTTTGAAGACTGCTTCCACCCCTCTCTCAGAGGTGAGAGGGCAAAAAATAAGAGAAGGGAAAGAAAACAAGGAAGAAGGAAAAGGGAAAAAATAAGAGAAGGGACAATGGTTGGGTATCGGAGGCCCTCTTTTCCAGTCCCAGTCAAGGGTTCCCTCTCTAGTGCCAAACCAAGCTATCCAGATAAGATTGTTCTCAGCCAAACCACTGGTGGCAGGCAAGGCAGCAATATTAACTGTAAAGGCAGCTGCTCTAGAGGTTCAAGGAGCAGAGCTATCTATATAACTTGGCAGAGGGAGAGAGGGGAGGAGAACAGAGGGAGGGAGCTGCAGGAAGATCCTGATGCCTGGGAGAGAGACAGGCTTGCTAGATGCTGGGAAGGCCCCAAGCTTCCTGGCTACTGGATGCCCCCTTCCTGGCGGTCAGCTTAACTCTGTTGTTGGCTCTTCAGGGGGAGAGAATTAAATAGGGCTGGAAGAAGGAGTAAAAGGAACAGGAGCTGGAGCCAGAGAGGTAAAGCAGCAGCCAGGCATCTATCGCCCAGGGATGTGTATACCTGGCAACCAGGGAAGATAGGACCCCTTTGGGTAAGTGCCTATCTGCCTCCTTTTGTGATGCAGTTATTTTTACTGAGATTTGGAGGGGAGGTGGGAATACAAATGACAAGGACAGTAGAGCTATGTTTGTGTGATATTTTGAAGTTATCTTACTTTAGACTGGACTTTTATTTTGGGAGAAAAATAAGGGATGTGGGAGAATTTTGGTATAGTCTCTATTCTTCCCTTGCTATCGCTAACTTTATACACACGTGGACACACTCACACACACACATGCACCCCATGTCAGCTACAGTTGTTTATCCTTACCATATCCTTGCAGGACAACCATTCTTGGCCACAACTGAGAGGGAAGGGGGGCAAACAGTAATGGGGCACCTGTTATCCCTCTTACAGATATTGATGGGGCTGGTGGTGGGGAATGTCTTTGACTCTCTAGAAAAATTTTTAAAAAATACTCCCTCCCCTCCTTTCCCTATCTGAAATGGAAATGTTGCCTTTCCCTCCTCTCCTTCCCCCATTTTCTACTCCTCTCTGCCTTGAGACTTATTCTTTTACTCTGTGTGTGTGTGTGTGTCTCTAGAGTGTGCAGCTGCTGCAGCATGAACCCCCTAAGCTGATGAGCCTTGTTATAGACTTGTTTGCAGAAGACAGCACGTTCCAGTTCACCTCCAAAGAGACAAGGGGAGCTAGAGGCTGTCCCTGGGGCACGCCTCTGCTCTCCCCTTTCCAGCTGAAGCCCTGGGAAGGGCTGAATCACTGCCACCTCAGTGTACATGGTAGGAGGGACATTCCAATGGTGAAAAAATGTGAGGGGTGGGAGTGAGGAAGTCGGGGAGGGTTGTGCCTACCTACCACAAAGATTTTAGTTTTTTCCTTTAAAATGGAGATATTCCAACCCCTCAAGTATCCATCTAGCTCTATTTGTGAGTAGTTGCTCAGATTGAGAACTAGTTAGCAAAGACAGGTTTTAGGACATATAGTGGGGGTGGGGAGTTTCTGACTTAATTCCTGTGTCTGTCTGACTTGCCCCGTAGCACGACACCACGTGTACTGTTTGTCCTCTGGCTTTGTGCTTATAAATATCTCAGAAAGCCTTGATACATGGTCATGGCACTTCCTCAATGACACGGACAGTAAGTGAACAGCCCTCCCCTGGGCTTCCCCCCTCCCCCTCGCCCTCCAATCCCACTGCCTTGCAGTGGCCTAGGGATTCTCATGGCATCAAACAGTCATTCTTGCTTTCACAGAGTTTTCTACCTTCAGCCACCATTCTTCATACTGTCCCCAGCTCTGCACCTTCTGGCAACAATCTCCCACTTACCCCCCTCCAATTTTATCTCCTGGAGCTGAGAATTATCTATTAAATGGTTCTTTGAGTAAAACCTGGTCAATGGAACATCCCATTTGGCTGGTCTAAAGAACTGAGCTTTGTCCAGCCTCTTCTGAGACACCTGAGAGAGGTTAGGCATTTCTTCCTTATGTTCCCCATCCCCACCACCTAGCAAATAAATAAGGAATTAGTAGGGAGTGTAAAATGATACCAGGGTCCTCTCCTTAACCCCTCAAGCATCAGTGCTAGAAAGACGACTCAAACCCCCTTCTCTGTTCCGCTCTCTTTCAGGACTGACAGGCAGGACGAAGCAGGGCTCTCCTGTCTCCTGAGAGATCAAGGGCCAACAGAACCTGCAGGGTTCAGCATCATGCTGGCATTGGGCATTGGCCAGTGGTGGAGAAGCAAGCTTTCCCTGAGGTGGAGACAGCTTTCCTGTGAGTACAGTCCTTATCTAGTGGAGAGGGGGTGGTGAGTAAGGGTATAGGTTTGGCATGGTGTAACATTTTGGACTTAGGCTGAAAGTGAAGTCTAAGCAAGACCTACCTTGAATGCACTATTGCATTGGTCTGGGAATCAGGAGCCCAGCCAACCTCCCTCTTCTGTGAGAGCCCATTGTGACTAAGATCCCCAAACTCTACAGGTGTGGTGCCTCTGCCTTCCTAGGTAAGTCTGAATAAGTCCATTCCCCTCTCTAGGTCTCAACTTTCTACATATGCATAGTAGGGAGAATGACTTTACCAGATGGCACTATACCACACAATCATCTGGGCTGGACTTCAGGAGTTAACAGTGGAATTGAATGGGATTATCCAGCTCCCCTCCTTACTCTGGTCTGTGCCCCAACCATGCTATATCCTCATAGTTTTAGGGTTCAAACATACTCGTTTGATTGGGAGTTCAGAGACTTTCAGAACTAAGATAGTTCAGAACTACTAACCAAAGAACTTTTAACCTCTCTGTGCCTCATTCATTCCAACTGTAAAGTGGGAGAAAAATGGACTTTAGATGGATAGGATCTTAGAGATTTTCTATTACAGATAGATAGAAATAATACAATATGCCTCGTTTCATAGTTGAGCAATCTGAGGTCTGGAGAAATTAATGACTTACCTACCTACGTATCTCCCTCCTGGTCTCTACCTCACAAAGCACAGTAAAGACAAAGACAGACACCTGTGAGTTCTCTGGGGTGGGGGGAAAGAAATCTTAGGGGGTCATTATTTTTCTACATGACCAAAGCTAAGGAGCAGGATGTGAGTATGGTTGGGTGTTTTGTCTCAGGTTAAAAACAACAGTCTGCCTTTATACAAAACTTAACAGTTTACAAAGTGCTTTCTTCTCACAACAACCCTCTGTGTTAGGAACTGCCAAGACTATTTCCTCCATTTTATAGATGAGGGCATTCAGGTGCAGTTGGCTCAAAGACTTGCCCATGTCTACAGCTGAGGAGCAGAAGGTTCTCTCAAACCCAGGTCTTTTGACTCCATGTATAGGGCTTTTTCATCTTCTGAGTTGCAGATGGCTATGAAAGATTTTTTTTTTTGCCTTTCTCCATGAGACTGTCCATCTTCACTGCTCCACAAACAGCCTGAATTATTCACTGAGGGATGGTTGTTGATCTCTGAGCTACCCAGATCTTCTTTCAGCTTCACTTTAGGATTACTAAGCCTACTGCCTAGATGCATCACATTTTCCCGACACCAGAGCATGAACCACCTGTTCTGCAGCCCTTCCAGGAAAAAGTTGTGGGGAAGGTTCAAGGCACATTCAGTTCCTTGCCTGGGAAGTGGCCTGGGGATGAACACTCAAGCCTCAACCTGTGCTCTCTTCTCAGGGACTCAATTTTTCTCAAGGTTGGAAGGTAAAGAGCTGATTTTCCAAGGGTTACAGTAGAAATATCAGAGGAGTAGATGGAGTTAAAGGCATGAAGGTAAATTGATCCAGCAGCAACAGAGATGAGGTGATTTCTAGAGATGCTTGATCTGTCCAGAGGGGTGTAATAAGGTGGGGGTGGGAAACAGGTGACCCCAGATGACCTGAAGGCCTCCAACTGGCTAACATTCCCCCTGCCCGCTTTTACTTCCTGCTCAGGACAAAGAGGCTCAGGTGTCAGCCTCCCGCTGTGGCATCCAGGCTGTCATCAATCCTCCCTGTCACTCAGGCAGGAGAGGGAGCAGGTCCCATCCTTCTCCTTCTAACCCCTGCTCCACCCTCTGCAGGACGTCAAGACAGCCAGTCTCCTCCTGGTAAGGCCTTGCTGTATCATCCCCACATGCACATACAGGCTGAAAGGGCTAATTAGCCCCCCCCTTGGGTGGGGTCAGTAAAGCAAGGAGGAATGAAAGCTCACCTTCTCCTTGCACCTCCCATCCTGTTCCTTTCTGGCCCTTTTTCTCTGGGCTAGGTGGTTCTGATTCACAGTTACCAGCCAATATGGCTTGTAGAGGACCTGCATGGGGACCTGCAGGTTATGGCTAAATGCTGACTGTGCTCAGTGCAGGGAAAGAAAAGAGGAAGTGATGAAGAGAGATAGGCAGATTTCAATTTCAGTGCGGTGTGTGTGTATGCGTGCATGCGATTCTTGTACACATTTATCATCCATTGGCATTTGAGGTTATTCCAGAAGGTCCAGAACTAGGACCAATAGGTTCTGGTTGAATGGATGCAGATTTTGGATTTGCATAAACTTACTAGCCAGGAGAGCTGACCAGTTATGGTCAGCTGTAGGAAGTAATGAGCTTCCCTGCTACTGAAAGCATTTCAGCAGAGACTAGATGACTATATATCAGGGATGGCTGGGAGATCCATTCTGAGTCTGAGAATTTATAGTTTCATGAATCTGTACTATTTCCCAGCCCAATCCCTCTCCCTATCCCATCATAACTCACTTATATTCTGAGAGTACTTTCTGGACAAGACTGTGAGGTAGATAGTGCAAATATTATCACTCCCACTTTACAGATAAGGAAATTGAGACTCAGAAATGTTCAATGACTTGCTCATAAGGTGCCACAACTAGTAAATGTTGGAGCAAAGTTTTGAACACAGACCTCCAAGCCTTGTACTCTTTCTAGGCTCCTCTGTGACCATCCAACATTGTGGTCCTGTAACAGTTGAGCGAGATATGGAGAGTGGAAATGATAGAAACTCCATTAATGGTCCACCTATTGGGAAATTACTCCCAATTTCCTGGGCTGCCTGCTTTGTAAGATGTTGAAAAAAGCATTAGAGGATTGGAGTCAGAAGACTTGGATTTGAGTCACAGCTCTACTACTAACTATATAATCTTGGGCAAGTTACTTTATTTCTGGCCTCAGTTTCCTAAGTGAAGGTGTTGGACTATATGATACCTAAGGTCTCTTCCCAGATCTAAGTTCTATGACTTACAAGAGTCTCATCCTCCAAGCATTATTTGCTAGATGAAGCACTATGCATTCCATATCCATCACTCTCATGATGCCCAGGGACACCCCTGAAGAGTGGGATCTTCTGTTAGACGTTGGGCTTTACCTATTCATGAGTACGTAAGGCAATTGGCCTCCCTCTTGGGTCTTTGGCAAGTTTCCAGTGGTGGGTGAGAAATTGTAAACCTCCTGTTGCAGATTCCCTAACTTAGCTTCCTATTCTTTGCAAGGCTTGCCTCTAGGTAACTATGGAGGGAAACAGGCAAAATGGCAAGGAGAGCAATTTTCTTTTAAGCAAGTATCTCCTTCCTGGCAGGGATTTTTGAATGGCATTGGGGAAGTAAGCAAGACACCTTTAAGTGCCTTACTTGGCAGATAGCTGTAGTCCTCTGAGACAGATGACTCCCATGGAGCTCAATGTAGATGGGTCTTCATCAGGCAGGCCCCATGTCCTATGGGGCAGTTTTAACCTTTCCTCCATGGCATCCCAAGACACCGCATTAGTCACTGCTTACTTCAAGCTTCCCTTTTGCCTGTAGGAGGTAGTTCACCCTGCCTGTAACTTTCCAATGCCCTTGGGCACTAGAGACAATGTAAGGCATGGTTGGGCTACTTGATGCAGGTCAAAGGGGAAATCATGACAAGTTGATTCTTTCTTTTAATATTTCCTTCATCCATAGTGAAGAGTCAGAGGATCTGGGTTCAAATCCCAGTTCTGCTACTTGCTATTTCTGTAATATTGGATAAATCTTTTAATCTCTCTGGACCTTAGTTTCCTCAACTGTAAAATGAGGAGGTTGAAATAGGTGGTTTCTGATGTCCCTTATAGCTTTATATCTATGATCCTTAGATGGTCTATGGCCATTTCCCTTCTTTTCATTTTCTGAGGCCACTGTTATAGTCCAGGTCCTCATCGTTCCACTCTTGGATCAGAACAACTATCACTTTCCCACTGGAATGAATCCTACACATTGAGACCAGTCCCAAAACAATGTCATTCCCCTGCCCAAAAACTCTCAATGACCCCCCCCCTTGTCTACAGTATAAGGTTCACATTTTTTAGCCTAATATTCAAGACCCTTTACAACCTGGCCCCTAACCTGGCTCGCTTATTATCTCCCACCAGTCCCTAAATAAATCCTTTGCTGTAGTCAGACTAATCCGTTCACTGCCCATATTCCCATGCTGTGCCTTTACTCACACCAGTCTCTTTCCTTGGAATGCCCTACTTCCTCCTCTCTAGCCCACTGCAGGGCACATAGTATGTAATCAATAAATATTTACTCATTGATTGAAGTTGATGCCACTGGGAGATAGGTATGATGCAGTGAGAGAACACTAGATTTGGAGTTAGAATACTTGCTTTTGAACTTCAACTCTGCCACTTACTTACCTGTGTGATCTTAGACAAGTTACTTAACTACGTAGAGAACCCAGTCTCCTTATCTATAAAATGGGTGCAATAATATTTGTACTATCTACCTCACCGGGTCGTCATGAGGATCAAATAAAATAGTGAATGTAAAGCACTTCGTAAATTGAAAAGAAATATTTAAAAGCTGCAAATTAGGATTACCACAAGGAAACTAACCAGGGAGATGACACTTTCCAGATAGTTCTCAGGTTCTGTCCGTTTCTGTTTCTGACTCTGTTTCTCTATTTTTTTTCCTGCCACTTTCTCTCTAGAACCTTCAAGTTTACTCTTCCTTTCTCTCTTTTCCTTAGGGATTGCCTGCTGGATTTCCCTGTATGCTGCAGAGACTCTCCCCGCCTGCCCCTTCTCCTGTAAATGTGACAGCCGAAGTCTGGAAGTGGATTGCAGTGGCTTGGGGCTCTCCACGGTGCCTCCAGACGTGCCTGCTGCGACCCGTACCCTTTTACTCTTGAACAACAAGTTGAACATTCTGCCTAGTTGGGTTTTCTCCAATCTGTCAAGCCTTCAGAGGCTGGATCTGTCCAATAACTTCCTGGACCAGCTGCCTCACGCTGTATTTGGGGACCTGGTGAACCTAACTGAGCTTCAACTTCGAAATAACAGCATAAGGACCCTGGACAGGGATCTCCTACAGCACGCGCCCCTCCTCAGACACCTGGACCTGTCCATCAATGGCCTGGCGCAGCTGCCTCCTGGCCTCTTTGACGGACTCCTGGCCCTTCGGTCTCTCTCACTCCGCTCCAACCGCTTGCAAAACCTCGACCGGGTGACATTTGAACCTCTAGTGAGCCTGCAGCTGCTTCAGGTTGGGGACAACCCCTGGGAATGCGACTGTAACTTGCGAGAGTTCAAGCACTGGATGGAATGGTTCTCCTATCGTGGTAAGCAGAGCTGTCTTTAGGACACAGCAAATTAGGACTAACTCCACACATCTCCAACTCTCCTCTCCTGAACTAGGTTCAGTTACTCAGGGAAGCAGCCATCAGGGAGGAGGTGGTTTTGCCAGCTGGTGCTAAAAAAGATCTGAGGCTCATCTCTATACAATCAGCCTCTCTTACCTCCCCACCCCCTTGTCCGCCTCCCCAGCCATACATCAGTGAGACAAAGGAGTGGGACTGCCCTTCTGCCTTTCTCCCCTACCCATTTCAGGCTGCTGTTTTGTTACTTTTATTCCTCTTGAAGGTTTCCCTTGGAGTTGATTTTAACCTGATTTTACCTATACGAGATCAGAGGTGGTGGTAGGAAGCTGTGAGTACAGAGGCAGTTTAGTGAGGTAGCAAGAACAGGTGACCATGGGTGGATAGTTCATCTTTCTGGGTCTCCATTTCCTTATCTCTAAAATGAGGGGATTCAGCTGGATGACCTCTAAGGTCTCTTCTGACTCTAAATTCTATGAAACTGAGGCCTCCTAGGAAGGGAAGTGACTTGCTCATGGACACACAGCTAGTTAGCGGCAGTGCAATTTTCTTTCTGTAACACCACAGCAGCCCCCTTTGGGGGAGGAGCAAGGAAATGATCCTGAGGAATTGTTGGGGAGAAGGATTTTTATATCTTGTTAGGTAATGCAAGTAAAAGGGATAAAATTGTGGTAGAATGCAAAAGGGAGGCAAAGAGGAAAGATAACCTGCCTCTGCCTTATAGACATTCGCATCAGTTCTTAGTTATCCATAACAACAGGAAAAAGGGATTTAAATTCCACAGCCAACAGCTGCAGCCTTCTCTCCCAACATAACTTTATATCAGATCTATAATAAGGAATCAAATGGTTTCAATTTTGCCTCATTTTTCATCCCTTTCCCATATTTTGAGTTTAAAGGAAGGAAATGGAAGGAAAACTAACACTTTCCAGGACAAGTTCTAACATGTTTTAAAATGATCTAAAGGAAAAGAAAGAGATGGTAAAGAAGTTCCTGATACCAGTGAAATCACAGATCCAATCCCTACACATAGTCCCTAATTAATTTAATTAGGAAAGTTGTTCAGACCTATTCCTTGGACTAGAGTCCTTGACCCCATAATCCCTCACAGAACCTAGAGTGGAGTTCATGCCATTAATTTGGAGAAAGAATGATGTCTGTTGTTTAGGACACCATTAGCAGCTGGCTCTGGGAGGGAGTACCCAGGACATGGACCTGGAATCCACTCTAGGGTTGTTCCTTGTGTAGGTCTAGGACTAAACTGGAGGTAGGAAGAAGGCAAATGGTCACATCACAGAATTTGAGAGTCAAAGGAACCCCACCAGCCCTCAAAGCCAAATAATTCACAAAAGGAATTCCTACCATAACATATTCAATAAATGGTTGTCCACCCTCTGCTTGAAGACTTCCAAAGACCTTCCACATTTGGTGAGTTGTAATTGCTAGAAAGTTTTCCCTAATTTGGAGCAAAACCCTTTATGCAACTCCCTGGTTGCTCGTGTTCTGCCCTCTGGGACCAAATGGAACAGATCTGGTTCCTCCTTCACAGGCCTTATGTACTTGAACACAGCAATCGTGCCCCTCTCCCTCCTCCACCCCAGCCTTTCGTTTCCAGGCTGAACTTGGCCAAATTCCTTCAACTGGTCCTTGATCCTTGGTTGACCTCCTCTGGACTCTACAGTTTATCAGCATCTTCCTTAAACTTTGTGTCCAGAACTAAACTGTTCCAGATAAGGTTTGATAAGGACAGCATGTAGTGGATCTATCACCTCTCTATTCTTAAAGCTATATCCCCCTTAATGCAGCCCAAGATTAAATTAGCACTTTTGGCTGTCATATCCCATTACTGACTTATATTAACATTTAAGTCCACTAAAACCCCTAAGTCTTTTCAGTACTTTTGTTATCTTTGCATACCTCCTTCATCTTGTATTTGTGAGATTATTTTTTTGTAATTGAGTGTAGGACTTGACATTATCTCTATTGAATTATATTTTATATTGAGTTAGATTCACCCAGTGCCCTAGCCTGTCACTATCCTTTTGGAGTTGAACTGTCATTCGCTGTAATTGTCATCTCATCCAGCTTTATATCATCTCTCATGGAGTATCCAGGCAGATATTTCTGACTACCCACACTGTCATCTACCCACCTTATTTATAGCCTTTGCCTGCCTTCATAATCATCATCCTATCTCTGACACAGACTGGCTGAGTTACCTTGGGCAAGTCATTTAACCACTTAGTGCCCCAGGCAGCTAAGACTATGAGTTGTAGAACAGGGGAGGATCAACTTTGGTAGAGGGAATTTTCCTAGTGGAAGTTCCTCGTATCAGTGGAATCAGAGGGTTGGTTCTCCTCCCTCAAAACAGACAAACAAACAAACAAAAAAGCATCAATGAACATTTATTGGTCAACTAATATCCATATCTATCTAATAAAATGGCACTCCTATTTGGTAGCGTCCACTCATATCTATAGGACTTTCTGTCAAAATGCCTTTGAGCCAAATCAAGACTACTTTGGTGGGACCACAGGAATAAACTTGGGAAGGAGAAGAACATGAAGGCTAGAAAATTCCTCTCCTGTTCTCAAAGCCTTAGGAAGAGCTAAGTATGGGAAAACTCTACCAAAAGGTCAATATTGACCTTTCACTTTTACTTCAAGAGGTAGTTCCCTGGCAGAAGAGGTCACTGCAAGGGGAATAGTGTCCAGCAGCTCAATGGCAGGAATTAAGCAGCCAAAAATAAATGGGCAATAGGAAAAAACAACAAGAAGGTAGCTAGCTGTTCTTGAGAAAGAGGTGACAGTCTTCTCTCAAAAGGAGAAAGTCTCCCCCCGTGGGTGGCTTTTCCTACCAGTGAAGATTAGGGTGGGAGTCTCATTCATTCGAACAGTATTTATTAAGCACAGTTAGGTGCTATATTATGACCTCTGGCTCAAGCTGACTACAAAGGTGCTTTTCTCAATGTGTCTGGATTAACTGATTTTCTCTTTCCAAGATGACACTTCCAGGGTTGCCACAGTGTTGGTCAGCAGTTGTCCCTTTTGGATCTTGGAGCAGGGAGAGGGGTTCCTTGGACGTGGAATGCTGAACACCCCATTCTTTTCTCTCCCTTTGGCACAGGGGGACGCCTAGACCAGCTGGCCTGTACCATGCCCAAAGAGCTGAGAGGTAAAGACATGCGAATGGTTCCCATGGAGATGTTCAACTATTGCTCTCAGCTGGGGGAGAGCAGTTCAGCTGGGTTGGAAGTGTCTGGGCCTCCCTGTACCAAGGCCAGCCTAGAGCCTGTTAAACCCAAGCCTGGGGCTGAGCCAGAACCCGAGCCCAGCACAGCCTGCCCCCAGAAACAGCGATATCGGCCAGTCAGTGTCCGTCGAGCCATTGGTACTGTCATTATTGCTGGTGTGGTCTGTGGTATTGTCTGTATCATGATGGTTGTGGCTGCTGCCTATGGCTGCATTTATGCCTCCCTCATGGCCAAGTATCACCGGGAGCTAAAGAAACGCCAGCCCCTGATGGGTGACCCAGAGGGTGAGCATGAAGATCAGAAGCAGATCTCCTCTGTGGCATGAGACCTCCCTACCCCCATCTGGCCTCAATAGGAAGGGCTGGGAAAGAAAGCCAGGGACTTTTAGCAAGCCCCTCTCTTAGGAAACTCTCCAGCACTCCTTCCTCTCCATCCTGAGTTTCTGTTGTTCAGTTCCTGTCTCAGTCTGAACACAGAACACTGCTTGCCTCAATCCCACCTTCCTCCCATGCCCTTCCAGGCAAAGAAACCACAGCCCAGCTGCCTCAAAGAACAAGAGTCCTTGCAATTTCTCTGGAAACTCTCCCGGTTCGCTCCCTCATCAGACATTTGTGGATATGTTCCAAAGGTTTTGGCTGATGGGAAGAGCAGATGAGGGCAGAGAAGAAGGTGAAGAAGGGAGGCCTTTAGAATTATCCTTCCTCTCTCTTCTGGGTGAAGCTATGGCTGTGATTCTTTCAGTATTTTGCCTTCAAGATGCTGGAGGAAGGGAGTCATGGGAATGGGGGTCAGAGGAAGATTTCTGCTAATCCTTCTTTTAGGGCTGGAAAGATATGTTTAACCTCCCTTCAAGGCAAAAGCTGGTTCTACCTTTTAGGCTCTGGTACAGCCACAGGAATAAACCTACCCTACTCTTATCAATACAACTATATGAGTATAGAAATACTTCTTACACTGCAAACGTAGTTACGACCCTTAAATCTGGCATAATCTCATTGCCCCTGAATTCGCAAACTCACATGCTCATAGCAATATCCATAAAACTATATTGATTTAGGAGTCTACACAACGGACAGATTCATGCATACACGTTCACACAAAGATACCGATACCAGGAATCTTAGTGAAGCTGAGATGTCACTTTCCTCACAACAGATAGTCAGCTGTTCAACTGTAGAATTTCCTGCTTACTGCAGCCTTCTACAGCCAATGGGGGAAAGAAACCCAAATCCAACAGCACAAGGATTCTTTTGCTATCTGCTAAAGTGGGATAAAGTATTGTTTCTGGACCAGACTGCCTATTGCCATGGTAACCAGCTCAAACCTAGCATGTTGGATATTCTGGGGACACCTGCCCCAGAGGCCTCAAAGCTATAGTGCTTGTGGCTGGTGCAATACTAGGAACTCAGACTCATATCACAGAATGCTTACTCAGTTCACAGCCTCCACAGAGAACACTGCTAGGCACAGTTAGGACACTCACCTCTGCGTACTGCAACCCAGTTTCCCCTCTAGAGTCTGAGTTCTGAGGAAGGAAACTAGCATGTTTTTACTTAATATATGCTCTAATGTGTGGTTTTGGGTAAAGTTGCAGAGCTGGATCATCCTTGGACAGTACTATTTGGCCTGGTCACCCCCTTTTGTGGGGGGAAGCAGGGGCATGAAACTGGGAAAGTGAGTGTCGGGCAGAGAGAATAATGTTCCTCCCTGAAGCTCACTACCAGCCAGAGTGCCCCACAGGGATATTCCCCTTACAATCCCTTCTGGGGCTTGGAGAATGATGAATTCCTTTTCCAGGTCTAGGTAAGCAAGGGTCCACTGGGGAATTTGCCTGCTTGGTCCTGTTCCCCAGAGTCTTTAATTACAGCTAAACTGAGGACCAGAATCTGAGCCAGGAAACTACAGATTTGGATTCTAAATGTAGCCAATAGTAATGGTATATATATACTATACTAAGGGGGTATGAGTAGAGTGGGAATGGAAGAGGAAGGTCATGGAGGAATTGTGGGAACCCTAGTATTTCTCCCTGGTTTTCCTCTTCTTCCTTCTTTCTTCTTCCTTCTCATTATGAGTTTGATGGCAGGTGATGTTTTCATCATGCCCTGGGAATACCTTGGTCTGCTCTTTTCAGGTCAGTGGTTTCCCAAGGAACAGCAGAGGGGCTAGAAGGCACCCAACTGGTTTCTGTTTCTAATGGGCTGTCTTAGGAGGACAACACAGGGAAGAAGTGCAGCTAAAGCACAGGCATGAAGAGGGATGGGGAGAGATGGAAGGGTATGACTGGGCTGGTCCTGGTTGCCTTTCTCCCACTTCCTCAATTCCCCCTTTGGGAAAAAAGGGAATGAGATATAAGGTGGGTGGGAAAGGCATCTTTGAGAAGCTGCTTCCCCCAACTAAATTGGGGAGTGGATACCATTGGCATAAGCCCAAAAGGTCAATCCTTCCCTTGGGTAGGTGGGCCTTCCCTCTTCTTTATAGGCTGGCAGTAGAACTGGTTGTTGTTATTGTTTTTAATGGGGGTGGAGGGGTGGGGGAGGGGACTCAAAATGGTGGTGTCTTCAGCACAAGGCAGGAGATTTTTAAAGGCAAAATTATATTTCTTGTTTGTTGTTTCAGAAGAACAATAAAGACTGTATTTTCCTATAGCCTTCTTAGTTTCATTGGCTAGGGAGGGAATGTGGCATCTGGAAGGATTGAAGGACATAGAACATGCCCCTTCCCCCCACCTCTTTTCTTTTCTTCTTCGACTTTATTTTCTGATCCCTCACTTGCTCCAGGGCATTTATGTATAGTAGCTAAGATATATCATAATTATTGCTTGGGGGGGAGTTTGTGCTAAGATATATCATACCAAAATATGAGACAAATGGAAACCCAAAGCCCTAAGGTTCACAGTGTTCCCAACCCTGGAGCACATCTAGGGTATTCAATAAACATTTTGTTAAGCATCTCAGGTATCAGGCTCAATAGAAGGAATCCAAAGAACTGAAACAAAACAGTCCCTGCCTTCAAGCAGCTTACATTCTACTGGGGCACTTGGTGAAGAGTCCTGGATTTAGACCAGGTAGCAGAGGCAAGTTGATGGGAACAGTTCCCAGGTTCAGTAGAACTTGGGGTGATAGTCTTGAAATAGCTCACTCTTCCTTCCTGAAAGCACAAATGGTTTTCCTGGGCTATGGAATGGATTTCCTGGTGCAGATGCTGATTTAGGGACCGACAAAAATAGAGCCGGGGGCCTCAACAGCACTCTGAACACTGAAATTTAATTGAATTTACCCTGGCAGTCAAGATATGATAGGCCCATAGGACAAGAAGACATTCTTTTACTTAGGAAGTTACTTCTCTATCACGGGATTGGGTTATTTTTAAAACAAGTCCAAATACCCTCACTATAGGAAGGGATGCTTCAGGTCAGATTTTATTCCTGCTGGGGGGAGACTGCAGACAAAATGTGGATGGCATCTGATGATCCTGGAGGACCCAGGGGGAAATCAGCAAGAAAAGGTAATTGTGGGGCATATAAACAAACATCCAGCATTTTAGAGATTTACATTAGGGACAGGCTTGCTGTATTCTAGGTCCAGCAGTGTGGAAAGAAGCAGGATGTAAGATGATGGAGGAAGGTGAGGAGCCCTTCACACCCCTCATCAATAGACTATCCAGCTGCCTGATTAAGCACTGACTTCAGCTTAAGGGGCTGGGACTGGCCTCTGACTGATCCTGTCTGGGCTGCCTTTGCTGTCTCATGTCTTGCTGTTTTTAGTTTGTTTGTTTCTATTTCCAGACGAGCGACTTTCATATGAAAGCCCAGAGAGCCAGAGGCAGACCCTAGGGAAAGGCAGGAAGGGACTACATCACTAATGCCCTTTTCCTAGAAGAACTAATGCTTTCCACAGTTGAATTCGAGGGTTCCCATTTTTTAAAGCTAGGTTGACTCTTAGGTTCTTTGCCTTCCCTGTTCCTATTGCTTAGTAATGATTCCAGATGGCACCAGAAGATTCTAAAGGGCAGCTTGCTCTGAGCCCTGCTGAAGAAGCAAAACAATTACTTCCCATACACTCCACAAATCTATGTAAGCTGTGTATACAGTGTGCGGACCAGACATGCCTAAAGCCAACCTCAGACCTAGCAGACGACTGCTGCATGGGGGTATGAGGAAGAATCAGGGGCCAAATGCGGATAATTCCCCAGGGGTATGCAGCTCATTTGCCTGGAGGGAATGACTCACATTTCTATAGCACTTTCAAATTCACAATTTCCTGACCCCACACTCTTCTCATAACAACTCTGTGAAGTAGGTAATGTGAATATTAGGATCATAGATCTAGTGATGAAAGGCACCTCAGAGGTTATTGTCTCATTTCACAGATAAGAAAACTGAGGTATAGAAAGGTTAAGGGCCTTGCCCAAGGTCACAAAGCTAGAAAGTGCCAAAGTTGGAACTCAAACTTAGGTCTTAGATGCCAAGGCCAATGTTCTTTGCTTTGAACAACATTGTCATCGAGCCACAGTATAAGGGTGCATGTAGAAACACACATATGTCAGCAGACGTAACAGCAAGCACCTTCTGTGCTTTGGAGCAATACCGCTGTTATTGCCTGGGGATGGACCATTCTGTGGAGCTAGGGGCCATGGGAGCTAGTGACTTGAGAGGTCATCTTCTTAGATCTTTTCACCCCACTCAGAGGAGATTGCATAGAGAAGGGGACAAGGCAGTTTAAAATAGATCCGCATGAGCCCAGAACTTCCACACAAAGCATGACATCCCCCTGGCCTTGGAGTCCCCAACCCCCCCCACCTGCCCTTTCCTATCCTTGGGCAACCCGGTAAGTGAACAAAGCCAAAGGAATTAAGAAGACAGAGATAGGCTGGAAGATAGAATTTAAGAAGCAGAGGAAAAAATAAGTTGAAAGTACCTAGCACATGATCCTTCTCCTGTCACATCCAGGAACCCTAGAGTCAAGAGCAATTGTCTGCAGTGAGTCAGACCAGAGGGACCAGGGACACTGTTTCCATGGCAACCTCCCATGGCTCTTCTTCAGTTCTGAGTTATAAAACGTCACCAAATACTTGAAGAGCGCAGGAGCCTGACCCTGGAGGACTCTGCCTACCCTACACCCTTTCCTTCTCGGGCATCACAGAAGCCGGAGGGGAGCCAAGGAAAGAACAACTTAAAGGAGGGGGGTGGGGCAGCCTCTGGGCAGCCAATGCCTTTGAGGCTGAGTTCTGTCCTGGGAATCAGGTGGGGCTGGTGTGTGAGGGCTTGGGGGAAGAAAGATGGGTAGGGGCAGTATAGAGACACTGAATCAAGCTTCCAGTCTTCTGGAATGCTATGTCTGCCATTCTTTCTTTATATCCCGGGCTAGAGAGCAGCCCAAGATTGTGACTCATGAAAGGAAGTGGTCAACCCCCCTAGTGCTTCTGGTACCTCTTTTTTAGGCTCAGATGATTTCACCTTTCTCTGTCCCCCTAACTCATAACTCTGAATGAGCCCAGGTGGAGCAAGGAGTATATAGTACTGACTCTCAAGTCCCCTTCACACTGAACCCCTCCAGCTTGGGGAATGTCCACCACGGAGGCTAGATAATCCTTCCCCTTTCCTGACCTTACCCCCTAGCAGAAACCTCTGCTATATGAAGGTAAGCCAATTTCACTGTAACCAAATCTTCCTCGTTTGCCAGACCCAAAGTACTTAGACAGTCTCTCTCCATCCTACTTGGCCAGTACCTGCTTGGTGCCCACAAGGTTCTGGAGCCTAGGGCCCTCTTTATGAAATCACAGAGGATGCTGTGCTACTATCACTTCTGGAGTTAGTAACGAACAGCAAAGAAAGAACCACAAATGCTGGGGAGTTGTGGAGGGTGTTTTCACTTCCTCTGCCAGGATTTAGGCCACAGAACAGGTTCAGCCTTCAGGCAGCAAGACCCTCATCTCCTCGTTGAGCCTGGAGTATTTCCTTAGCTACTTGGTTTAATTTGAAACAGCAAGTGCATGTTCTTACAGAGTGACTGCCAGTTCAGAGCTCAAATCAGTTTAGACTTAAGGCAGGGTGGGTGTTCCTTAGCAGGTGTAGGCAGGGCAGTAGGCTGGGAGTCAGGACACCTGATTTTTTAGGACTGATTCTATTACCAACCAGCTGTGTAACTGTGGTCATTACTTGACCGCCATGGGCTTCAGTTTCCTTCCCCTGAGAAACAAGAGGGTTGGCTTGAATGATGTGCTGGCCTCCAAGATTCTCTGGTTCTGGAAACACTCACCTCTACTCAGCCCTACCTGGAAGTAGTTGAGGGTTTTGAGCCCAAGAGCCCTGGGAATAGCAAGACCTCCAGACCACCATCACTGCCTCCAGTCCAGCCCCAAGCAGCCAACAGAGATGAAATCTGACAATTTGGCAGGGGCTAAGCCCTGCCTTATCTGCAGTCACAGCTACTGAAGACCCAGAAAAAAGTACTTCCCACCAAAATCCTTGGCATTGTCAAATGGTTTGACATCAGGCACAGATGTAGTTTTTCTCAACGGCAATAACATCACAGAAAGTGCTTTGCCACTGAACCCTAAAGACCATGGCAGGGGGTGCAGCTAGGTGGCGCAGTGGATAGAGCACCAGCCCTGAAGTCAGGAGGACTTGAGTTCAAATCCGGCCTCAGACCAAACACTTGACACTTACTAGCTGTGTGACCCTGGGCAAGTCACTTAACCCCAATTGCCTAAAAAAAAATTAAAAAAAAACATAGGGCCCCTCCATTTGACTTGCAGCTACAACCTCTTACATATGTTGACTTTCCTTCCCTACCCCTTCTCCTCCACGTAGATTGTGAGCTCCTCAAGAGAAAGGACTATCTTTTTTTTTTTAATTTGTATCCCTGACACTTAGCAGAATACATTGAACATTGTTGTTGTTCAGTTGTTTTAGCTGTGTCCAACTCTTTGTGACCCTATTTGGGCTTTTCTTCGCAAAGATACTGGAGTGGTTTGCCATTTCCTTCTCCATTTTACAGTTGAGGAACTGAGGCAAACAGGGTTAAGTAACTTGCCCAGGGTCACAGAGGTAGCAAGTGTCTGAGGCCAGATTTGAACTCAGGAATATGAGTCTTCCTGACTTCAGGCCCAGCACTCTATCCATTGCACTACCTATCTGCCCCACATAGAATATAGTAAGTGCTTAAAAAATGCTTCTTCATTAATTTCTTTATTTTTCTCTGTCTCAAAAAGCTTTTCATTAGATGGCTAAAAAAGGCACTAAATTAAGGAAAAGGGGAAATGATTTGCACCCAAGAGATGAGGTAAAGAGTTGAGAACCTAATCCCAGTATCTTGGTTCCCAATACCATGCTCCATCGCAGAATTCTGCAAAGATCCCCATAGTATCCTCCAGACACAAGTCTAAGGAGAGGAGCTAGGGTGGAGTAGGTGATTAGGACAATAATTTCCAGGAAATACCATTAAGAACCCCATGGAAATTTCAGTCCCCTGCATTAAGGAGCCTGGAGACCTCTCCCATTTTAGAAATTGCAACCAGAAAATATACACCTTGTATATTCTGCCCAGCTCCCTCAAGTACCACACCTCTCTCCCCCAACCCACTCTGTTGAGCTTGGCTCTTGT